GCTCTATATGCTTCCAACGGTGATTTCCCATCGTATTCTTGTGGCTTCCTTCGTACTGGATCACTCCTAGTACTAACATTCATATCTGGGATGTGACTTCTAATGGGATTGAATATGTATGCATTAGGGTTTAGCTGCGGGGTCTGGAAGGGGCTTGCCATTGTCTGGGGCTGCTTAAGTCGATGGTTAATGTATCCTCCTTGTGTAAAAGACAATAAATCATCCTTTAATGTATCTAATTCGCTTTTAAATTTACTATTGTTTTCCATTTGTACTTCTTGCCACTGTTGTTGACTTTCCTGTAGTTGCTGCTGACTTTCTTCCTGTTTCCTTTCTTGTTCTAGTTGCCACTGCTGTAATATCTCTTCTTGTTTATTTTCATTCTTCTCCAACCACTGCTGTAGTCTCTCTTGTTTATTTTGCTGTTCGAGCTACCATTGTGGGTTTTCTTGCCACTGCTGTAATCTTTCTTCTTGTTTCTTTTCTCGTTCTTCTTGTTTCTTTTCTTTTTCCTCCAACAACTGCTGTAATTTCTCTTCTTGTTTCTTGTCTTTTTCCTCCAACAACTGCTGTAATCTCTCTTCTTGTTTCTTTTCTTTTTCCTCCAACAACTGCTGTAATCTCTCTTCTTGTTTCTTTTCTTTTTCCTCCAACAACTGCTGTAATCTCTCTTCTTGTTTATTTTCTCGTTCTTATTGTTTCTTTTCTTTTTCCTCCAACAACTGTTGTAATCTCTCTTCTTGTTTCTTTTCTTGTTTATTTTGTTGTTCCAGCTGCCACTGTTGCAGGTTTTCTTGCAACTGCTGTTGTCTCTCTTCTTGTTTCTTTTGCTGTTCTTGTATTGCTGCCATCAAATCTGCTAAGCTGTAGTTTGATTTTCCGCCTCTCGTTTCCATTTTTTCTTTTTCTTTTCCACCCCACTTCTGACACCAATTTGTTACGTCTCCGTTCGTTAGTTAATTTTCGTAAAAATTTTTACCGAAGAAACTTTACCGATACAAGTCCTTTCTTAAATAAAACAGGTTTATTCTTTCTGAATACAACTTTGCAATATACTTAATTTCAACAGTCGCTCTATAACAAACGCTATAATTCACAACGAACGTCTTACGTCCTCAACAATATTCTGTCCGCATACATTCAATTACTCATTAGCTCACGTTGTTTCTTGGCCGGTCTTATATATATACAAGACTACCCCACTCTAGTAGTCTCCCGACATTTCATGAAGGTTCGAGAAGGAAGTGGCGTGATACAAGCGTCACGTGACCTCTGCTGTCGTAACAGTATGTAGCAGCGACGGCCCACCAGAGCTTAGGGTCGTCACGACCCAAACACCATTAGAAATGTATATTAATCTAATCAATTCATAATTGCTAATTAACTCATTTTTGATCTTGTAGAGTGTGCAGAATATCGTTCTAAGAGGAAATCTGGCCAGCTGTGGTCAACGGAGAGGAGAAGGATAAAGAGGAAGGGGGGATATATAACGACAATAAGAAATATTAAAAATGCTTATTGTATATATTTACACTATTATATTATGACCCATTGTCTTATATTTGCATTCAATATATATGCATGCATCTATACAACTTGAGAAATATACTAGCTAACATGCACTGCATGTGCATGCATGTATAAAACTCTTTCGGCTACAAAATTCAGTCCATACACCATTCCAGAATAAGTCAGTAGTACCTCCAATCCAGTGTTTACAGACTCCCTATATAGCTACAGGGTATGAATATGGCTATAGTCTGTAATATTTAGGAGAGTCAAAATAGGGATTTGTAGCTTGAGGAAATTACGTCAACACTAACTCTGAAACCGTAAGCTTGTTTGTTTACTTTTTTTTGCGCTTGCATTTTCACTTTAAACTACCTGTCTTGTTTAATTTTTGAAGATCCCTATTCCCCCTTTTTAAATTGACCATTTTAATAATCTTGTTTTATAATAATAATCAGTGTCTGTGTGTGTGTGTCATATAACTCCCCCTATCCGCTAGTCGTATCGATTAATAAGTGGTACCAAATGAATCGTCTCGATCCCGAATCGGACCCCAAAACTTTCATTGATTGACATTAGAGCACGTAAATAAGTAGGCCTACAAATTATCGTTCGTAACTTATGTGCATTATAGCAGCAATGATCATTAAACTCAAAAATTCAAAAATAGAAGTTCAATCACTATTTTTCAATTATAGCGGTCCTGTATATGTGGGGCTTAGGCCCACTGGTTCGCTAGTTTTCTGTAAAACCTAAATGAAATAAAACAAGGCTTTTGACGATAATATACCTTTTAGAAGTGTCTAAGAAAAATAACAATTTTATCGAATAAATATAACAACAAATAAAATACTTATTTTAAGTAACAAGTAATTATATAATTTTACTTTAATAACACCAGAAAAATAAATGAATAAAAGAAATAAGTGCGCATGCCCAACATGCCATGTCTTCGTTGGTTAGATGTGACCAATTAAAATACAGTTTTCGGAAAGCGCGGAGATCTTTGATAGTCTGCTGGTAAATTATTATTAATGTTATTGTTATAGGAAGAATTTGTGGGATATAGAAGTATTTGAGCTATTGGACTGTTAGTAACACCGAAACATATTAATTTCATACTTGGTAGAGACCAGGTAATTGAATATTTGCCAACTTATATAAAGTGTGAATTATTGTTACTGTAATTATTAATAAAAATGAATGCTACAATACTTTTAACTAGTCTGCATTCCGGGCAAACTTAGCCTCACACTAGTACTAGTAGGCCTAATAATTTTTAATATTAGTAATAATTATATCAAAAGGACTTAGATTATTCAATTTATTAGGTGAATAAATGGGTATTAATTTTAATAAATGTAAGATAATGCATGTGGGTTATAATGATTTAAATTATAATTTTGGTAGGAATAACCTTAACATTGTTATGGAAGTATAGAATTTTGGTGTTGCGGTTGATCGGTGTTATTCTTAACCAATCCAAGCAGTATGCTAGTGGTAGAACAACTAGGAATTTATGGCTTAGTTACATAATTATTGAATATAACTTAAAAGAGATTAAAATTTTATTGCCTAGGTGAAAAGTTAGACCTCATTTGTGTTCAGTGTTGAAGCTTAAGTAAGGCACTGATTGTTGGAAAAGGTTCAGAGGAATGCTACTTCTAGAAATACCTAGAATGGAAAGTTTATCATGAGATGACAGGTTAAGACCTATGAAAGTTTCTCTTAAATAAGAAGAGTTAGAGGAGACCTGGTTCAGGTGTTCAAGATTGTTTGTTTTTGATATACCTTTTTCTGTACATTATAAGACTAGGGGACAAAAATATAAAACTTGCCAGTAGGAGTCATTTTCAGCTAAGACAGTTTTATTTTTCTAACAAACTTTTGTATGCAGTAAATTTAAGGAAAAGCTTGATAAGTATTTGAATAATAAGGACTGGTTGAAGGTGTGTTATATGTTAGGAAAGCCATACGACATAATAAAACAGTGATTTTGGAATTGTATTTGTTTAACCCTTAACCACGAGCAATTATTTTGCAAATAATTAATTTTGTATGTTGTAATAATACTGAGATTTATTTACTGGAAGTAATATGTAGTTAAGGATTAATTGATTTGAAATAAAAAATGAATAATACTTTATATGTTAAAATAATTTAGTTTAGTTTTGAAGGTTCTGAGTTTTCTAACTGATATTTCAAGTATCCTTTTAAAAACCTTTTTTTTGTTTGTTGTAGTTGATATAAGTGCTGGGCAATTAGTGGCATTTGCTAATCGATTAATTGACAGCCTCATTAATTAATTAGTACAGTGTTCTTCTAATGATGGTACCTGCTAGCAAAAAAACAAACAAAATATATTGGTGATGGGTGCCGTAAGCCAAAGCCTTCCCTATATTCATTAGTCCAAGAAGAATTCAAAAAAGAAACCAAGAAAAGTTGGCAACAGGTAACCGTTTCATTCCCTGTAGTCAAAATTAGTTACATTGGCAGATAGCCTTAGTAGTTTCGCCATAACAAAGACCAGGACCCTCAAATCCTGCCCTTAATTGCCAAAGCTTAACAAACTTAAAGTAACAAATTTATAAGGCTAAAATTGATCAGAGTCCTGATAGGCTGTTATGTAACTTTCTGCATAAAGACCAAGAAGCATAATGGCAATATTTTGATTACTTGGATAGTTGGAATAACCAGAAATCTAAATTTGGTTGGTTGATTATTTTTGTTACAATCAATTTGATAATTTCAGTTAATCGGTTGGTTTGGGACACTAATCGATATAATCACTATTTACAAGTTATCAGTTCAATCACCCAGCTCTAGTTGATGTACACTTGTATGTGTAAGTACAGCTGGGTAATTAACTCAATTGTATTGATTAGTGCCACTTAAAATAATTAATTATTCAAAATTAATGTTCCCATTATTACTGTTTTTGATTATTGCAACTGTTCCGGGTCTCGTGAGGGTAAGGGATTAATTGAACGTAGTCGATTAATGAGCCTAATAATTAGTTAAGTAGATTTTATAATTTGTTAATGTATTTTGAATGATTCATGTAATTAAATTCAATGTTGTGTGTGAAATCTTTTATTAGAAGTTTTTCATTCCACTTAGGATCTTGATCAGTAATGAATGGAAAACGGAAATCTTTCCCTGGCCGTTTCCAGTCTAGTCAGAGTAATAAACGCTCTAGGAGAGATGATGATAATGAACCTCTGGACTTTGAGGCTGAGCTGGCATTAATGGACTCGGTGGAAGAAGAAATACAACTAGAATCACAGGGTGAGTATTTTGTATTGACTCTTAATGCTAAAAAATTAAGGTTTATTAATTGGCAGAAACTCGGGTATGCTTTTTTCTTCTGATAATAGGGTGCTACTTCAAGAAAATGTTCGTTTTTATATTATATAAATATATACACCCAGACACATACACGAGTGATAAAATGTTTAAGCAAGCCTCAGAGGGTTTTATTTAAAATTTCAAATTACTCGAGCGGCCAATCTGCAAAAAAAGGGTCCTATTTTCCGAGTTTAATGTATACCCTCTATACAAAGCTACATCATACCCTAAATGAAAGCTTATTTTCTCTACTTTAGAGATGATGTGGAACTCTTAGTTGACTGTAAGACATTTAATGATCTAGCATCAACCTACTTATCACCATTGATACAAACCTTTGATAGCTATGACACCATAATATATGTGTTTGATTGATATGACAATCCAGAGTTGGTTAAAGCAGAAGAGAGGGTACATCGCTAAACCATGAGAAAAGAGTTTCGTCAGTACCAAGTTACTGGGGAAGACAATGCATCTCTTGCTAATTTCTTGTGTGAAAGGCTTGTAGAAAAAGCAGGTGCTTTTTTAAAATGTCATCCACAAAAACAACTGATTTATGCCGGTGGGTTAACTGGTGGCAGAGTTACGAAGTGTGTCACATCAAGAAGAAGCTCAGACAATCCAACAATGTTTGTAACACATGAAGAAGTAGACACCTGTATCATTCTTCATGCTGTTAATGCAAAATCCAAATGAGTCATAGTTAAAACATCTGGTAATGATGTCATAGTCCTTCTTGTTCATTACATGCCACAGATGACAAACACTAAAGAGGTATGGGTTGAAACGAAACATATCACATCAACAGCTGATCAAAGAAAATTCACAACATCTGCAAAATT